TATATGTATATATCGACCACGTGACATTATTATGCATCAACACGCGTGGGATTGTACAAGCGTGCTAATTGCGAGCTCGAGTATAGCAAGGTGAATGATTAGAAAATGCCAAGACCACATATTTGGATGATTTAAGGTGGAGAATGGTTTATCAACGGCTGTTCTACAAAAGAATCATCGACGAAATTGCAGCACAGCTATTAGTTTGTTCAAAAACCCTCTATCCTACTCTCAGCACCTTTTGGAACATGGGTGATGTGAAGCCTTGCCCTATGGGTTGCCCAACAGCGAACGTATCTTTATTCCCACACGAAGAATATATTATCATGGACTGTTTACTGCGAACGCCGCAAATACAGTTGAATGAGATAGCAAGCTATATGTAAACCTCTTCAATAGGATTCAAATCAGGACTGTCGTACACTCGTTCTACAACTTCTTGTACATGATGTGTTGGGCTGTTATCTGTTAAAAAATATGCATATTACTAGTTTTAGCAGTTGTATCTTTGTTCATCAACAAGTTTTGTTTAAACAGATATTAATAGATCAAAACATGATCACAAATTCAGTCGTCCCTTGAGACATATGTTAGAACAGCGAGTTTGCATTAATTATATTCAAATCTCAACCATAACAAGAACGGATCGCGGGATTTCCCCATCAAATGTTCATCAAGAAAATAGATAAAGGAGCGTGTTTCAAATCTTTCTTCGGGATTCTTTAACAAACAGTTCGCAAGAAGTCCATGACTCATCAAGTCCAAAATGTGGCTTGAAGAGTTGATAAAGAACAACTACAGTAGAATCTTGTAATAAATTGGAAAAGGTGGAATGGCTTGCTTCTTATTAATATAGTTATATGATTTCCAGCGTGCAGTATTAAGTATATATTCCAACTTAAATAATGTCATAATGTTCATACCTTTTTGCGTGCATGTTATTCCAAGCCTATAGAGAGCTCGGCACAGTGTCTCCGGGCCAAATGCAGAGCCAGTAGCATTAATGATATAGCTTGCTATCTCATTCAACTGTATTTGCGGCGTTCTCAGTAAACAGTAATATATTCTTCGTGTGGGAATAAAGATACGCTCGCTGTTGGGCGACCCATACGGCAAGGCTTCACATCACCCATGTTCCAAAAGGTGCTGAGAGTACAATAGACGGTTTTTGAACAAACAAATAGCTGTGCTGCAATTTCGTAGATGATTCTTTTGTAGAACAGCCATTGATAAACCATTCTCCACCTTAAATCATCCGAATATGGTCTCGGCTTTTCTAATTGTTCACCTTGCTATACTCGAACTCGCAATTAACACGCTTGTACCATTAACACGATTGCTTGCACAATCCCACGTGTGTATATATATATATATATATATATATATAATATATAATAATATATATATATATATATATATATTAATATATATATATATACATACAGTCGTTATCATGAAGGTTGTCCATGTCAATATATATATAAATATATAAATATCAATATAATGTAAATATATATATATATAATATATATTATATATATATATATACAAAAAATATATATATCGTACGTCCTGTGTCCCAAGTGCAGGAGTCACCATTGCACTCTGGTGATAGCCGGGAAGGCACATTGTTTTACACATGTTGTATATATATATATATATATATATATATATATATATTTATATATATATATATATATTTAGATACTATATATATATTTAGATACTATATATAGTTAGATATTATATATATTTAGATATACTCCATGTCACGGCAGCACTTCCCTTGCAATAGTATCTTCTAGTTTCAACATTATATTGAGAGTTTATGACATGTTGATATGATGTTTGAATATTTCTTTCTGACTTTATGTAATTTTGACCGGAACGGAATGCCATATAATCTATTTACAATATAATATTTAATAATTTACAATTAGCTGATCTATTTGCAATTCGACACTTAAAAATTTACAATTAGTATAATATACTTAAAATTTAACATGACAATTATTAAGAGGAAATGGTCCTAATTCACCAACTTAAAAACACAGAGCCAGGTGCTCTCTCATGCAACTCTGGTCATAGGTCAATTGGCTTGGATCATCACCAGCCAACAAACTAAATGCAACAGCAAGTGCAAATAGACCACAGTCATCACATCCTTTCTGTTTTTGCATGGGTGGATAGCTGTAAAACATCTTGGATACAGTGGTGCCTAGCAATGCAGCTAAACAGGAATGAAATTTCTGTTTTAGCCTCTTTGTCACATTCAAGGAGAGAGAGTCATACACTTTCACAGCATTTTTCTCACAGTGGATATTGGTGAAAGTTGCCCAGTGTTGTCCGTCAACATTAATAATTTGGACAAAGTCTTTCAATTCTTTCTCAACTTTGGGTTTTCCCTTGAATGAAAGCACTGAGTGCAACCCTCTTGCTTGAGGGAACTGTTGCGACAGTAACCACTGGCCAAGATCAACATGTTCGTCAGTTAGCCAAAATGGTCTTGAAGCATTTGCACACTAAGCTGCTCATAATTATTATTGGGCATGCTCCGCAACATCTCACACTGTCCATTCACTCTCTTGTTTTTGCTGGTGGTGGATGTAATGGTGGTGGTGGAGGCAATGTTGGTGATGGTGGAGGTAATGGTGGTGGAGGAGGTATTGCTGGTGGTGGTGGAGGTATTGCTGGTGGAGGAGGAGGTATTGTTGGTGGTGGAGGTATTGCTGGTGGTGGAGGAGGAGGTATTGTTGGTGGGGGAGGAGATATTGCTGGTGGAGGGGGTGGTATTATTGTAGGATGAGGTGTTGTCACTGTCATCATCATCATGAAGCTTGCTTGTGCAATATGGTTGCAATTGGTCATACGGAACCTTGTTTTTCAAAGGAAAGGCGCTTTCTTTCAATGGTATCAATGTTGCCCTTTGTGATGCATCAATGTCATCAATTCTGAAAGTAAATAACAAATATGTAATTAAACAGGACAAACTGCAAATCACAGTTTTCCCTTTGGTAGAACTGGAATTTCTGATCCTGTAAATGGTTTGACCATTAGTGCACTCTGTTCAAGATTTTTCTCTTTGGATGCTAACAAGGCTACTAGGACTATTATACTTACAGGATGAAAAAAATTTGGAGCAGGGAATAATAAAAACAGAAATTTTATTTTCATATATCAACTCACATATTCCTGCACATCTTCATTCCATTCCAGCAAAAATGGTCAGAAATTTTACTGAGGGTGGCACTCACACCACTATGTCCACCCATTGCATTACTGTGGTAATGGTTTAGCACATCTCGTACTTCTTGGATTTCCAAGAGTACTTATTTTTTTACCCCTTCCTTGCCACCAGTATAGTAGAGCTTGTTGTCTAGAAATCACAATCAAGTATCAATCTAATGTATATTCTTTAATAAACTTAAACCTAGTGCCATTATGTTGCTATTTACTTTTTCTAATATCTAAAAATTAATACACAAGTGATACAATCACGAAAGAAGAACTATAAATTACTTACTTGTTTCATCCATAAAGTAATGCTTGACTTGGCCACAAACAACTCTCTGTTGGTTTTTTGTCAGACCATCCAAATGTTTACCATGACCTAAATAATACATGATCTGTTCACATTTCTTTCAACTAAAACGTTTCTCCCTTCTGAGATCGCTTGTCTCCCCAGACACAATATTTTCAATCTCACCAGTTTCATGGTCATTGGCTGCCATTTTAACAACATAATAAAAAATATTTCTCTAATAGCTTGTTTCGATTAGTCGTCTGCACATGTGTGTATCGAACGCGAGGGGATCATTCAGATGAACAGAAAATCGTACGAGCCGCTGCTGCTGACTCATGCATGCGCAAACTACAAGAAGAGTAGTCAGATCAGGGGAGTGCTCAAACTGCTACACCAGTATTTAAATGTCCAATATGTGTTTTGCAGCATCTAGCAATACTTATAAAGATGACTTTTTATGTAAGAAATTTTTTATCATTTTATTCTATAATCTTCACATTTTTAAAAGATGTGGCGAGATATTCGAGATTACAACAAAGAAATGCAACCATCAAATACGGAAATACGTACAGCCAAGTGCGAAGGGAAAACACAGCAAAGTGTTTCATCTGTTGAAATACAAAGTAAAGAGCATCAACAACAGGAAGAGGCAGAACGAGTTGGTGCAAAGGAAGAGGGAACTGGGGAAACTGCTTGTACTCAATGTGCTACACTGAAAGCAAAGGTGGTTGCCCTTCAGAAAAAATGTTCTCGGCTTTGTCTAAAGTTGCCAAAAGCTAAAGTTAGGTTGAATGAGTCAAAAATGTATCCTGTTAATACATCAACACCAGTCAAAGGTAACAGTGTGCAAGGTGAGGACGAAGAAGAGCCCGAAGAATACAACAGCAGTGACACAGCTTTACCAGAATCTCAGACATCATTTGAGAATTCAACTAATCATGAAGAATCTGAAACATCAAGTCAAAGTTCTAGAGAAGACAAATCTGGAATTAGGTAAGGACCTGACTGTCTCTATATTTAACACCTGGTTGAGGGGGGGGGTTGCATGTCCCAGATTCAAGTAACTGACTTGGGTTTTTATCCCATCAACTGACAGTACCCCACCACTGAGAAGCAAAATCGCTTGGCATTATACAGAGTAAAATACTAAATAAGAGCACATTTGTGTGCATGTTATTGGGTAATAGGCAAGGTAAAATTGTTTGGGCCTGGCTCACCATAATGTTATTCTCTGATTTGCCTTTGGTTTGTATTCTGAAAGAACAAGCACACTCAGAGTTGATGCTCACCTGAACCTTCCTTGAGTGTCAGTGCGGTTTTTCAATAGCTGGATGGTGAGTACTTGCAGAGTATGGTATAGCAATTGCATTTCAGGTTTTCGAAAACAGCCCTGGAACTCTATGAAAGCTCAGACTGAGCCTCCACTCTTCGAATGTGAGCTCTTTTGTAATACTGACATTTGTTTGATAATTACATTTTATTGTGATAATTTCTGGTTCTTTTCTTACAGATATAATCCAATATCATCCTCTTCTGTTGAACCTAAGTTTATTGTATTTTATACCAACCTCTTGGTCTTGTTCTCAGTATTTTGTTTTTAGTGCAAGGCAGGTGAACTGAAAGTGAAAATGAAGAAGGGCACAGCAGTATGTGTTGAGTGAAAGTGTTCACATTGCATGAACATGTCCCAGTAGAATTTCCCAGCCCCTCATCTTAAGTAAATACCCAGCTGGGAATGTTTTACAAAGCTTTGCTGTCCTAGTCTATGGTGCATCAATTAGTAAGATTTTGCTTGTCTTTTGACACTTGGGTTTATCAGTATACCATATACGGCATTTTTCAGACATCAATCTGATATTCTCCTACCCACGATCATTTGTTACTGGAATTCCTACCAGCAAGACCTATTATACCAGTGGAAAAGTTGTGACACAAACATTTGGAGTGGCGATGGTCGTTTTGACTCAATGGGGCATAGTTGTATATATACCTTGAAGTACTACAGGTAAGTATATTTTCCCGAAACAATTCCTCATAATTTATATGTCTAAAATGGCAATGCACCCAGATGCACCCTACTTTAGTGTTTTACTCTGTTTAAAAGCAGATTATTTTAGTGAACAGTGGTAGAGCACTGCCAGTATTTCAACTATTTGCGCATTCTGATTGGTCAAGGACAAAAAATGTAAATAAACACACTGATTGGCTAACATTATTCACCCTTGTTACCACAAACACGTATGTATCTACAAGTATTCATATAATCAATCTAATGTCTTTTCACCAATAATAGATTTCAACCTGCAGATTTCTTGTCCGGATTGATTATACTGATAATTATGTTTATGAAAATTAATAAACCGGCATGTTCTAACGCACAGAGCCCTAATTATTCCAGCCAATGTGTATGACTAGTTTTGTTCGTATTTAATGGTTGGACAGAAAACAGAGCTCATCATCAAAGGAAATTTGCAGGATTTAATCGAATTAAATTATATATATATATATATATATAATATATATATATATTATATATATGTATATATATATATGTATATATATATATAATATGTATATTATATATATGTATATATATGTATATATAATATATATATATATATAATATAATATATATATACATATATATCTATTTATATATGTATATGTATATTTATACATATACATATACATATATATATAATATACATATATATATATATATATGTATATTATATATATATATATATGTATATTATATATATATTTATATATATATATATATATATATATATATATATATATATATACATATATATCTATTTATATATGTATATGTATATTTATACATATACATATACATATATAAATAGATATATATGGTTTTTTATATATACATATAGAAAGAACATATAAAACACAGATTATATATATATATATATATATATATATATATATATATATATATATATATACTTATGTCACATTGTAATTTCTTGGGATTTTTCATTCACAAGACGTGAATGTGGGAAAACAAGGAGTGGCAATATAATTCAAGTTGGCACATTACTTCAATCACTTTGCTCTCTCTTGGTGATATCAACACAGCTGAGATTTTACCAACACAAACACTGCATGGTGACATCAATGCGTACATTATTGCACCCAAAGTGCAAATAATTCAAAGCATGTGTTGGACAAGACAAAACTCTCATTCATAAAGACAATGTTTTTGCATACAACAACCAGGAGGTACATTGCAACAATATTTCTCTTGTTAGTCTGCTTATCACCCACCTATTTAGCTTGGTATTGCTCCATACAATGTTGCAGGCTGAAATACTAAATAAAAATACATTATCTTATTAGGCTTGCTTTGGGAAATTTTGTACATCAGTACAATTTTCATTTCATAGTGCTACAGAAAATTGGGTAACACTAATAGAATATAAAACTTTGAGAGATGTCCATGCTGGAAGAAACAGAAGTATTGGAGAAAGCGAGTGTGGTACACAACTATGACTACTGATGTGGATTTGTTCATGCAGAGATACCTGTTGAAGAGGAGAGAGAATCAAGTGCAGAATTTAGAATTTTGTTTTCAATATGTGTGAATATTTGTTGTAGTTCTTGATGTTCTTCTTTGATGGCAATTTCTTTCGATTGTTTGTTTTCACATGTGAAATAATAATAATGATAATAATAATTTTTAAAATTTGTGGCATGCAAATTTACATTGGTACATGATAAAATGTATGTAACAATAAAATACAATAATAAATACTATAAATATTTACATGCAGAACAAACAAAAACCGTAGGTGCTGCAAAACTAAATGCTCTATCACCCAAAGTTTTTTTTGTCTTTCTGTTAGAAGTTGGCTTTATCTGTAGTTCATTATTTCGACGTAACTGATAGCTACTTGGTGTCATTACAGTTATTAAACCCCTGATGTATGATGGTGCTAGTCCATGTATTGCTTTGAATGCCATCACTGATATTTTAAAAGTTATTCTCTCTTTCCCTGGAAGCCAGTGAAGATCATAGAGAACGGGTTTAATGTGATTGTAACAAGATGTACCAGTAAAAAGCTGAGCGGCCGCATTCTGTACATGTTGTAGCTTATTTATGGACTTTGCTAGCAGACCATAGAAAAGGCTATTACAGTAGTCTACTCTTCCCATGATATAAGCGTGAAGTAGAATTTTTGTCGTATCAACAGAGAGATACTTTCTAATTCTGCAAAGATTGTGAAGGTGGAAGAATGCCTGTCGAGATGTATTTT